GGGTGAAAAAGCTAAACATGACCCCCAGCGATCCGCAGATACTGGGATGTGCCACAGAGAAGGCGGTGGAGCTGCGAGAGGATTCCGCTTTCATGTCTCCTGTGGCGGCCATCGACCACGAAAATAAAGCGTGGCAAATACAAATAGAAATAAGTCAAAATGTATCCAAGGGAAACACATTCGCAGCGGAAACGGAAGCGAAAACGGGAATGCGTCGAGCGAGGAATCCACTATGCTGTATGTGTACCATCTGCTGATGTTTGCTTAATGAATTGAATCTTCTATTTATATACTTCATTTTATTTCAACATTATTATTTTTTACCACAAAAGGAAATACGCACAGACAGACAGCGAAAAAACAAACAAATGAAACAATTAAAATTAAATGCACCCTTGGGAGCCAAAAGAAAAAAAAATCCTTGCTGAGGGAGAGGAAAGTTTACACCAGTAGTCTCAACTTGCCAATGCCCTATGAAAGTTATAAAAAATACTGAGTATGCTACAGAACTCTAGGAATTTGATATTAAATTTCATATTTTTGAGCGAAGATTTATGTTCACACCTAAAGTTTATTTTAAAAATGATTAAAAAACAAATTGAGCTGTCAAAATAAAAACGGTTGAGAAAATGTTAAGCGAGTCTTTGAAATATATCATAAATTATTCGGCAATAAATAAACTTATCTTTTCGAGCCACAAGACTCGTCTTTTAATGGCAGAAAAAATTGAAAATTTCAGTTTTTTATGGTTTTGGGACACAGTAAACGTTTCGTAGCAATTTGTTTACCGTTTCATGCCTTTGATCCGATTTGCCTATCCGGAAACATTTGCGCTCCCCAATCGGGTAATTCATCACGAGACCCTAGCACAAAAGAACTTTTGTACGCGCTCCTAAAACCGCAAAACCAAATCATCATCAGTTTTATCAAGCAACCCATCCATCCCCGACTAAAATACCATTTCATAACCTCAAACAAAAAATGCGGGATTTAAAAAACCAAAAGTGGGGAAAAAACGAGACAAGATTGGACAATTGCATTCGCTTTCGATGGAGATCCTGCGGTCGCACGCATAAATCTGTTGCTGTTTTTGATTTCACTCGCCGCGGATAATGAAATTAATCGTCTGTAATGGTTTATTGTGTGCGGCGATTGCGGAGTTTGTTTCTGGCCGGCCAAAGCGGGCCAAAACGGGCCCGACCGAGCCAGCCAACCAAAAATGACCGACGGCCAGATACAAATTCAGTCTGATTTCGTTTTTTCTTCGCCCCAAAATATATTGAATTGCCATTGAATGTCGCGTTGCCATAAATAAGTCGGGCTAATGGGGCGCGGTCCATGCAATTTTTGTGATTTAGTGGGAGCTTTTGGTTCAAGCGGCGGCATCTAGACCCTCGTCGCCAAGTCGTATATCAACGGATTACTTTAAAATGTCGAATCGACTGTCACGCTTCTAAACTAATAACATCAGAATAATCAACATAAATCCATAAAAGAAAATCCTATTAATCCGCCCCTGGAGACATGAACATTTTTGATGTTTCCCGTCGAAGTGGGCGAAGAAAAGAAGAAAGGAATATCCTCACAGGACACAGGGCACACGGCGAGCCCCTTTGTCTACTGTCTGCGGCTTATGAGCTTCATTCGCTGCCACACACTTCAAATTCAAATTACTACACATTATATAATATCCTGCAGGCTCTCACCACACCACACGTACTGCCTGATGAGAGGAGGACTTCCAGAAAGTGGGTGGCAGGACATGTTGGCACAATACGACATAACAACGTGGCCGTAGGGCTCGAATTGGAAGTGGGCTTCAGCAAGGACGAGGTAGTTCCTCCATATTGGACCTCAGTTTTTCCACTTTCTCTCCTTCCCTGTATCGACACCTTCACTTCAACTTGGTAGTTGATTAAGAAGACATTATTTGAGTTTAAATACACAAATGTGTGAGTTGGGAGAGGTACAGTGGGTGATGAAAAACCATGCTATTTATAATATATATTTTTTAATATATTATTTGTATTTGTTTTATAAACAAAGTATATTGCTTTTATGCTTACTGTCGGTGAATAAATCATTTGCTTTGATTTCGGGTTTGTACCTTTATTAGTTAACATGTTTTTTAGAACTCAGTCTTTCAAAAACCATAACATTTACTGGGCATGTAACTCTTATCTCATTTTTTCAATCCCTATAGCTGCATTGTTTTATGATACTACCACCTTTGTGCTTATGAAAGTAGCAAGAAAGTATTTTTTTGCAGTTTTTGCAGTAAGAGCGCCACGTAGCATAACTTGCACACACAACTGTACTTTCACACACAATTTCAAGTTATAATCAGCGCTCATTATTATACCAGACACGTTTTCAGATTTCGCGTGATTATGCGCCGCGGCTCGGCAACATCTTTGGAGTTTTGGGGCAAACACGCAGGCGGCCAAGGAGCGGAGTCAAGGAATTAAACTTGAAAATAGCTTAAGAGATACATTCTGTGTATCCAGCAGATAGACGAGCATGTTGCCTAGGTCCTGGCCGAGCTGGATCTTCTCGGGGCTCAGGCCATAATGCTTATTGTTGTCATTTGCTCAGCGGGCGGTGGGCGGTGGGCTGTGGCAGACGAAAAGTTGGCGAAAAATATGCAAATTATAATGAAAAACTTGACACTTTACATGCAAAGCAACAGCAAGAACACAAGTGGGGGTCGGATTTTCCGAAATGGTTCCCGGTTCCCGGTTCTGGGTGCTCAGTGCTCAGTGCTCAGTTCTCGGCCTCCAAGCCGATTCAAATCTGTGGCGGGCGATTAAGCGGGCCAAATGAAGCGCTCGCACTGCCTGCGCATTTTAATTAAGAAGGCAGCCAAATAGTAGTCGTGTCTCCTTGTTTTTACCCCTCGCCGGTTGGTTGTCCTTGTTCGTTGTTCCTTTCTGGTTGTCGCCTCCGTGGGAAAATGGCACAAAAGCCACCACCCAATTTGCGGCACCCAGCACCGTACTCAGCGGCACTTGAGTTCCCGAATTCCCGTAGCATTTGCATAAAGTTTTCCTGCAGCTGCAGCATTGTTTCGCTGGGTTTTTGATTTCACCCACAAAAGTCAACGAATGTCTTCAGAAGTTATCAGAACTCGAGGTGTCAGGAAAATTATCTGGCCTTAAATAAAGGAACTTGGATACGGTATGGAGCAGATTGGAGCTTAATTTTAAATATGAATATGCAGATACAAAGGATTTTAACTGTGGGAAATGTTGCCGAATATATTTACATAAACTTGTGTGAAGGTAGCGAAATCTGAAGAGGCTTGAATATCTTTAAAGAGGGGCCCGAAACTATTCTCTGCAAAATAAGACTTTCTCTCTTGTTAATTTATGTTGAATTACAGAACCGAACAACTTTTCATGTTATTTAAAACAACAAACGATTTATATCTGTCCCAAATAACTTCAGTTTGTTTCGTTAAGAAAACTTAAATATTTTCTTTTATTACGTAGTATTTATAAACATGTTTTAAACTTTAAGTTCCGTGGCGCTTACACAATGCATTTTCAAAAGTAGAAATGACTTCCGAATTACACAAAAGGCAATATCCTCTGGCGCAAGCCAATTTTAACCAAAAGAATTTCATAATGTTACTCCACTCAACTCCGAAAACGCACTAACCCGGTTCAGCCCCACCAACAATCAGCTTTAACAGCTCTTTTAACTCCAAACCTCCAAAACCGAAAAACTTTCTACGATTTCTTTCGCACACACTGAGAGCGCACACAGGGCATAGAAATTATAGCGGAAAATTACCTTAACGAAAGGGCTTCCGCAGCACTACGACTTTGGAGCCCGGGTGTAACCTTTGCGACCCAACTGTACTTGTAAGCCACTTGTAGTGCGGCATTGCCGGTCTGGCCCGAAAACAAAAGCAATTAGATGTCGCCAACTGGCTGGCTGGGATTGTGGATGAGGATGTGCCGCAGGAAGTTGGAACGAGTGGCCCAGAGCTGGGGGCTGGGCAAATGTAATTGCGAGTGTGTGTTTCCAGGCAGAGACCCAGTAGAAGTAAAAAGTTTGCAGCGATTTCTTGGTGAAACTATAAATTTACAAGCCACAATCAGGGACGCCTCCGTTATGTGCGTGGGCTTGAGAGTGTATTAAAAAGCGTTCAGGTGAACCATCTACGTGTTACCTGTCCTTTCCCAGGACCTGACAATTTTCAGCGCTCGAGCGTTTATTTCGCCGGCTCTCCGGCTCGGGTTGTTGTTGATTTTTATTGCCATCGTTGCCGTTGTTGAACGTTAGTTTTAAAAACTTTACCGCCGCCCGGAGGTCCATTGTGGGGTCCTGATTGTCGGGGGTTAGCTCTCGGGTTGTCGGGGCATTTATCTCCGCCGCTTCGTCCCCTCAAATCCTGAATGGATTTTAAGTGGAATAAGTTTAATGATCGAAATTATTCAACGTGTGCTTTGTGTTTTGGCTTTTGTGTCTGGTTTATGGCTGGCTTAAAGTGGAACAGTCGAATGTTTATGACAGACCCGAGTTTTGGGGCGCGGTAAAATAAACATATTTGGCTTAGTGCTTTTAAGTGGGGCCTAAGTTTGCCTAGCTCTAAGCCAAATAAAACATTGGATAACTGAAAATGATTTGTGGTGAACAGTTATTTTCGATTGCCTCAAGCTTTTAGAATACTTTTAAACTTTTTTTATTAAAAGAACGCACATGTTAAAGGTCAAAAGAAGAGAGAACGCTTATGTCAATGGCCTCCACTATCAGGTACCCGTTAGTCAGCTAACAAACTTCAAAATAAAGATATCTTCGAATAGAGTTGCGCTGCGCAAGAATTTCTTGAAACTGAATGTTTAATCCAAACGAGATCTCTGTGTTCATACGAACAGGTGTACAGACGGAGGGACGGGCATGGCTAGTTAGACTCGGCTAGTGATCCCGATCACTTCCATCTACCTGATACATACATTTAAGAGAAATTCTGAATCTCAGTGCTCCAAGTAAACTCAAACTGTCAGAAACTAAAAACTTGTCTTACCCGGTTATAATTGAACTAAATTGTTTCTACTCTGTATAACTATCACCAAAAGTCTATAGTCCCAAAATGATTTGTGGCTTAAGAACCACGCTTTTATCCCGTTCTTTACGGCGTTTAAGGATCACTCGGAGTTACTCAAAGGATAGCAAAGCGGAAAATGCTCTCAAGCGATTGGGCACCAGCCCCCGAAATGTTCGGGATCATCCCCAGGGATGCACACCTCAGCATTTGAATACAACGGCCTTCGCTTCCCCGGATTTCATACCCCCATCAACCTATCGAATTGTTGAAGAAGAGGAGAAGCTTGGGCCCAATGCAGGAAAGAAGAAAACCTACAAGAATCCGGAGTACTACAGCTACTATCGATACTCGTACTACGACCTCAAAACAATAGTCGATACCATTAAAAAGAAACAATCATCCAAAAAGAAATAAGTAGCACCAAATTGGAAATACATCGAAGAAAATTCTCCTATAATAACCTATAATGAAAAATAAATTGGAGTATTTAAGGCAGCTATGTTGCCACACCTAAGAACCTTCTACACATGGTTACTTTTGCCTGTTGATATAAATTAACCAACCATATACATCACGGAAAATGGTCAAACGGATATACAAGCAAGAACCGCAAATTCATGATGATCAAAAAGGTATACAAAACTGTATACTGTGAGTTCTTGTTATTCATGAATTTATTCATCATATATGCAAATTTAAATTTAAATAAAGACTGCGTTATGAACCACATTTCAATAGTTTAACAACAGCTTTAGAATCTTAAAATTTTTCGATTAATTTCTTAAATATTATTATTTTCTTACCCAACTTCAAAGGCACAGAAAAATAACTCGATACAGCATAATGTAATTTTTAAGATTTGGAACTCTATTGGGGTTCATAATACAGAATTTTCGTGCAGTGTAAGACCTCCTCCGCCTGGTGATACTCCGCCTTATGACACTAATCGTATTAGTTGGCTGGTCGTTAGTTAGGCGGTGCTATCTGCCCCAAATGCGATTTCCGCACAATGAGCTCCTCTCCGTGTCCGTCGTGCAGTTTCCGGATTACGTGCGGCATTTTTCGTACAGGTGACATAATGATCCGGACTCGCCATCGCCTCGGAGGCGTAATTAGAGGGAAGTGCGGGGGTCGACTTGTGTTCGCCGAACAAAAGATGCCACGCTGCGTTGCCAACTGGGGGACCTTGTAATTTAGCAAATCGGTTTAGCAAGTCATCAGGAATAGCCGAGGGGAGTGTGGAGGAAATGTAGCTTTCGCGACAACACGCCTTATTAAATTTACAGACATTAGCCTCTTACTTACACTTGTAGGTGATGTTCATTAGTTCTCGCACCCAGGTGTGTGTAAGATGTGCGGATCTCGATAATGCTGCCGAACTAGGGTATACCAAATGTATCTGCAAAGACAGAACTTACAGGCTATTGATATAAAATCATATTTATATCACCAGTAAAACATCGTTGTTAATTGTTGACCCTAAACTTGCTATGGATTTAATATCACAAGAGATCACGAAAACAGTAGAAGAATTCCTTTTAAAAAGTTCTAAGTGTCACATGTTTCTTGTGATCTGATATTAGCTTAAACACCGGACCCAACTATAAACAATTATATAACCTACATATAAGATTGACTTCAATTGAAAACCCCAAAAAAGTACAAGAATTCCATTTAAAAAGTTCTGAACCAACTATAATCAATTATATTAACTATATTAAATATAGTTATGGTGTATACACTGTACATATATGATTGACTCAAATTGATATTAACTCATAGTTAGTTTACCTGTGATACTTTACTATACCTTTTTTTCTCTGAGTGCGACTTTTAATTGAATCCCATCGTCGGGTGGTGGACCGTGTTTGTATGGGGCAGTCGAGCAAACCATTCCCATTCACACATCCTCCTTGGCAATTTATCAATTTTAATCGCATGCAAATTTTATGCAGGCCCGCCATAAGACCCAAGTGACATTTGCTTTCGCTAAAGCTGGGCGCACAATTTCCCAAGAAAGGAGAGGAGGAGGATGTGTGGGCCTGGCTGTTCAGTTCTGTTAACAACTTTGGGCCATTCGAAAGGCTGCTCCAAAGGCTTCTGCTAATCACATGGCACTCTTTATGATTGCGACCTTCCCCTTCCCTTTCTCTTTTCCCCTAAGTTAGCCATCTTGCGCAACATTTGCATTTTGGCAACATAATTTTTGCTGTATTGTTGTGCCTAAGCCTGAAACATGACCAAATCAAAACATTTGCATAATTAATGAGTGGGAATGTTCGGTGACTCGTAAGGGATGTTAGTAGTTGGAAGAAATTAACTGGAAGTTAAAGCTAAATATGGAATTCCTAATAACAAGAAAATATGTATACCTGTATTTATCTACATTATTTCTATATAAATTTCTGGCAATTACTTTTATTTTATAAATAAGTTTATTGAGTAATGGAGATTGGGGAGTTCGATTGAAGATAAAGTTAATTTTATTTATTGTAAATCAAGCAAAAGCACCTCTTATCGAGGTCAGGGGTCGTGACGATCGCTACTTCAACATACAAAGTAAAGTACTTCAACATACACAATCTTTGGACGAAAAATTATTGTACTTCCGACAAAATGTTTTCGTTCTGCCCGGTTTACTGAAAATATTATAGCTTCTTACAAACGTATATTACAAACGTATATTCTGCAAAATGCAAACATTTTAGAAAGTGTATTATTTAGTCGCGTGTACAATCATTATTCGTCACAAAATTGTATATCAGAACTTTTCTACACAGAAAAAAAACGAGCCAGGATCAATTTGATCAAACAGAAACACCTCTTAACGAGGTAAAAAGTAGTGGCGAAAGCGCCTTAACAAAATTTTCTGATATCAACAATTTTGACGAAAAATGATTTTACAATCAATAAAATAAATAAACAAGGAAGAACGCTATAGTCGAGTACCTCGACTATCAGATACCCGTTACTCAGCTATATGGAGATATGCAAGCAGCAAAGCGAGATTAAAATGCGCCACCTACCGGCGGTATACAGATTTAAGCATTATGGGCGTTAGAGTGGATCAATCGATAGGTATCGACGAGACCAATACATTTCAGTTAAAATTTATTATCTAGCATGAAAATTGTGGGCGTCACAGGTTTTCGCGGTTTGTGGGCGTTAAAGTGGGCGTGGCAAACTTTTTTTTGGGTCAATCGATAGGTATTGATGAGAACAATACATTTCAGTTAAAATTTTTATTCTAGCATCAAAACTGTAGGAGCCACAGTTTTGGGCGGTTTGTGGGCGTTAGAGTGGGCGTGGCACTGTGCTGAAACAAACTTGCGCTGCGTAAGAAGCTCAGGAATCTGCACGCCAAATCTCAATAGCCTAGCTCCCTTAGTTTCCGAGATCTCAGCGTTCATCCGGACAGACGGACAGACGGACAGACGGACAGACGGACAGACGGACATGGCTAGATCGACTCGGCTAGTGATCCTGATCAAGAATATATATACTTTGTGGGGTCGGAAACGCTTCCTTCTGCCTGTTACATACTTTCCGACGAATCTAGTATACCCTTTTACTCTACGAGTAACGGGTATAAAAATAATGTACCAAATTTTTTTATTATTCATTTTATTTTATTTTCAAATACGTTTTCTTACCTATTTTCAGTTTGTACAAAATATGTACAGTATTTCTTATTGACACATTATTTTAGACATTTACATTGGGTCATTATACCCGTTACTCGTAGAGTAAAGGGGTATACTAGATTCGTCGGAAAGTATGTAACAGGCAGAAGGAAGCGTTTCCGACCCCATAAAGTATATATATTCTTGATCAGGATCACTAGCCGAGTCGATCTAGCCATGTCCGTCTGTCCGTCTGTCCGTCTGTCCGTATGAACGCTGAGATCTCGGAAACTATGAGAGTTACAATACTGGGATTAGGCACGCAGATTCCTGAGATTCCTGCGCAGCGCAAGTTTGTTTCAGCACAGTGCCACGCCCACTCTAACGCCCACAAACCGCCCAAAACTGTGGCTCCTACAGTTTTGATGCTAGAATAAAAATTTTAACTGAAATGTATTGTTCTCATCAATACCTATCGATTGACCCAAAAAAAAGTTTGCCACGCCCACTTTAACGCCCACAAACCGCAAAAACCTGTGACGCCCACAATTTTCATGCTAGATAATAAATTTTAACTGAAATGTATTGGTCTCGTCGATACCTATCGATTGATCCAAAAAAAAATTTGCCACGCCCACTCTAACGCCCATAACGCTTAAATCTGTATACCACCGGTAGGTGGCGCATTTTAATCTCTCTTTGCTGCTTGCATATCTCCATATAGCTGATTAACGGGTATCTGATAGTCGAGGCACTCGACTATAGCGTTCTTCCTTGTTTTATTTATATTTGTCTTTGACATCTACAACAATGTACATATGAAATTATAATATCAAATCTACAACAATATCAAATTTACAATAAAAATATTTCAAAAAATTGGTACCGCTTTATGTAAAAATGATATTACCAAAATATCGTTTTTACCATTTCAAACATATCAAATTGATATGAGCCATATCAAGGCCGAATTGATACTGGGTTTCATCAAATTGAACATCATATCCTATCAATTTTTTTTTCTGTGTATGTTAAAGGTGCGATCGTCATGACCTCTTACCTCGTTAAGAGGTGATTTTGTTTGAGGAACCTCAAGGGCTGTATAGTTTAAAAAAAAAAAATTGTTTGAACCAATTTTGAGAAAAAAGCCAAAAAGTGGTTAAGAATAAAAACTTTTAGATATTTACAATTTAAGTTAATGTAACGTGATTAGCAAATTATATTACCTTTTTAGCGACATATAGCAAGTATCTGTAGTTTTTTATTTCGAGCTTCTTAATAAACATATATAGTTCCAAGAACCCTAAAACCAAAAAATTATTTATAAAAACCCACAAACAAAGAGACAAACAATTTTATTTTAAAAAGTCCCAAAAAAACCTTGTTTTTGAAATAACTTTTGAACGGAGCACGGGAATTCAACATTTGAGGTATCGTTCGACGCGTATTCTCAGTAAAAATAGAACTAGGTTAACAGACGGGAGCATTTATCGCCACCGGAGTCAACAGCTCAACTTTTCTAATTTTTCACTTTTACACTTTCACTGCTCTACCTCCCAAACCAATTGAGATTTCTAAAGTCTTGGTTGTGATACCTTTCGATTGGTGCATCATTCGTTACTATCAGACCATGACAGCAGATTTGCAACACTACGGCTATATATAGTAGCCGCCTTCGCTCACTCTCCTGTTGCGCTTCGTCACTACGTGGACTGCCGTCCACAGTAACATCGAACAAAAAGATTGCATTAAATACTCTGTACGGATGGATAGACAGCCCTGAACGATTTTTCAACCTGGTATATTCTGCTTCTTCACACTAAGGCTTATCACAACTGAGCAAAAATAAGAAACTTAAAAATAATGATTTCTCGATAATCCTTCCAATACTCTACCCCGTAATTAGTTGCGAATCTGACGTGACATTTTTTCCGCATGCCCGAGAATGCTTGGTCTGAAAATGTGCGACTAACGCTAATTTCCGTCTCGTGATTGATACTAGTCCCCGGGCCAATGACACACCCATCCATCATGGAAGACAATGGTAACTAGAGGGAAAATAGGTGAAAGGAAACGCTGGGAAATGCGCTTATCATGTAACGGTTAACGGCGAATTGACTCGAAAAGTTCAAAGGTTTGGCTTTGGTTTGATGGATGCGATGCGAGGCAAGACCAAAGTGCAAGTTAAAGCCACCGAATCGGGTGTTATGTGTATATTGCCCCAGGCCCTGTTTTCCAATTTACACTGGGGAGGAAAGTTTGCGGGGCACGTTCTGCGATGGCAGCTGGTTTGCTTAGCTGGAAAAGTTGGCCAAACAAACACAGGCCAACACGTAAAAACAAAATTGCAAATAAATTTTAATTGTTTTGAGCAATTAAAAATTAAATTTAAAAAATAGTGCAAGGGGCGGGCCAAGCGCTTCGGCTATATGCCACACACAAATTTCCGTGCTTATTCAATTTGCGAAAATGTTTGGCAACTACGTGAGTGCGAGCGAGTGTGCGAGTACTTGTGCGACTCAGTGTCCAATGGCTGCTGCCGCTGCTCCTGCTAAACAAATTAAATTAGACAACTTTTATTCATTCGTTTGACATTTTTATTTGTTTTCAAACTCATTTTGCGAGAGCAAAGGCTGTGGGCTGGACTTTGCAGGATCGGGGCAGGACAGTTGAACAATTAACAACAAATACAATTTCCAGAGTTTAGTTAAAAATTTTAGCAACTGCTCCCATTTAATTGTTCCGTTTTCCCTGGCGACCCGACTCGATTGTTTGAATTTAATTAAATGCCATTTGCATAAGTTCGTCATCCTGGCTCGTTTCGGATGACAAAGGAATACGGAATTATATACAATTTATGACACTTTCTTTCCTTATCGAGGGAAAGGAAAACAATGAGATAGGGTGGGAAAAGCGAGATAGCAACGCTTATCAAGTGCTGATTGCAATCGAAGCAATAGGAAATACTCAAAAATTGATAATGTAAAGAGAGCCCTACACACTTTGCTTGACTTAATAGCAATATCATTCATAATATAGTGAATTTAAAAAGGTACTTAGAGAAAATAATAAGCAAAATACATTTTTATAAGGTGAAAGATATAACACATTTTTTGCATTACCATTTTTTTTAAGTTAAGCTCAAAAGATTAAATCGGTTTTGTTATATTCATTTTGATAACAATTAAATTAGGTCTTATTTCTTTTTAATCACCCATCGAAAAATCCATTAGTGTGGTCATTCAAAAGAGTTACTGGCTTTTGAAGTTGGCAAGAAGTCCTCTTCAAAGTGAATGACAAGTATTTTCAAGCTTATTGGTAAGACACAGTCTTTCCCCATCGATCGATCGTTTTGATTGCCATCGCCGCATTATCAGTTTGTCTACCGCAGTGGCATCATCGAACCTCCCCCTAAAAATACGAGAGAATATTCCCAGAAATTAACAATCTTATCAACAATGCCACTGAAATTTAACCGATTGTGCCTGCCATTGCTCCTGTTCGCTTGTCATCTACTGGCTGAGAGTAAGTTTTATGGTTTTTGCCACATTTCAGTTTGATTTTTTCATTTTCAATTTTCTGCGATCGCAGTTCCACAATGCTTTCACTTTACCTGGGTTGGTGCCTACGATAATCACTCGAACATCCAGACCGAAACCTGCGACTCCAGAGTGGGTGACTTTAACGACATACCCTGCGAAGAACCACTGGTTGTTACACGTGAGTTTTTTAAAAATGTATACCTAAAAGTAAACACAGTTCGGAGGCAATTCTTATAAAATTAGGCTTATGCGTAACTTCCTAGGAGAATAGTATTGCTTATAATCATCTTTATTTTGTACCCAAAAATCCAACAGCCGACGACACAGTGCCGGATGTGAAGGCTCTGTGGCAAAATACCACGGAGAACCGCGAGAACTTTCTGTGCCAAATGTCGCCCGGTCGCTCATGCGTGAAATACTCCTACATATTCAAGGGCGGAAGTGAGTCTGTTCCCGCCTCTAATGCAGTAACATCTATATAATAAACTTAATACTCCAGTACAGAACATCACGTATATGTGCGCCAACGTGAACAGCAGCAACGGGTGCTACCGACAGCTACATCCAACCGGCATGGTTGTGGAGGCCTGTGTCTGCACCTCCCGAGTGGGTCTGATACCCTGTAATGGCTGCTCGAGAACTCGGCTCGGCGGTGCCACGGGCTGGGCTCTTTGTTTGCTCGGCCTTTATCAATGGCTAAATAAATATCGAATAGTTTGAACTGCAAATACGGTGCCTTTATGTAATGTGACATTTCCGGGCTTTTGATTTTGACAAGCCTCTGCGAAATTTATGTGCACTCTTTGTAGGCCATGCATTTTCGTTTTTTGACGGTATTTTTTACGCCGCCCGATGTGGCTAAATAAACTGCCATAATTTATTTGCTCGCCCATTAATCAATTGCAAGTTGATGATGACAATGACGCTGACTGTCCGCTGGGCAATTTGCAATTCAGTGTAGGAATTTTGTTAAATAAATAAACGAAATGCTATACATAAATCAAGGCACAGCGGTTTTTTACCGGGAGATTATTTCGATGGTACTTCAGTTTTTTGTTATGGTTCGTTTAAGCTCACCTAATTTGAAAGTATGAAGCACATGAAGTTTGCATTCGTAATCCTCTTATAAGATAAGGTTTTGCAAATCCTATCAAGTTGTTTAACATTAAATTTCTCGCAATAATTACTCAAAATAAATAACAAGCGGCCAGACACGGGGAAAGGGGTAGAGGCTGGTAAACAATGCAGGCGATAAACGGAAAACCAGAAACACAACTGCTGATGGGACACACTGCGTATGAGAAATGCACCGAACACCAGCGGGCAAATGGGAAGTGGGCGGGCTGCAGAGTGGGCGGAAGGCTGTTCCGATTGGGAATGCCCAGTGGCACAACCGGGCTCAAATAAACTAATTTTAATGCCTTCCATTGTGGCCAGAGCACGCAGTGCGGCTCAATTGGGATGCGACTGGCAGCGCCAGATTGGCGAGTGGAACGGGCTGGGCGGAGCTGGCTTCATCTCCCGATATGCACAAGCAATTCGCATATTTATTTACTTTTTTCCATTTACAGCGGTATTCAAAACAGTAGCAGTTTTGGAATAGATATGTATTATGATTGTATGATATGTCTAAGAAAGTGTTAGTACTGATTTTGGTACTTCATGTTGGAATGTTAAATGTTATAATTTTTTTAAAAGCTTAGTTCGCAACTACCATTTTGACCGCGACTGTATATTTGCAATGCAATATAAAAATGTAAAAAAATGCGAAAACTTCAACAGCTATTTGTAAATTATGTCTTTATGGGAGTGTGTATTAACACTCGAACGCCAAATATATATATATTTTTTTTTTTCCCCAAACCTTTTTGACAATTTGAATTGAAATCAGTTTGCTTAAACATAATATTCAGGAACAGATTTTACCTTTAAAAATTCTTAACAAGTTCGTTTCATATGAATTTCTGAGTTAAAAGAAAATTAAATTAAATCATGAGAAACAATTTCTGGGAACACCAAAACATCACAACTCGCTCAATAACCAAAATTGACAAAAATGCAATTGAGCTATGGGGAAACATAGCATAATCGCTGGGTAAAGGAGTGGCGCTTCAATTTGAACCCTCTCTTTCAATTTAATTTGGCAGTTTTATTTATAACTAGCAGCCAATATAAAGCCATGCTTTAAGCTGCACGGCATTTTTGTAAAAGTTTTCAGAAAACAGGACTTGATAACAGTTTGGTATACAATTTAATTATTATTAATAAATAAGACTTTGCGAATCTAGTTGTGACTTGCAAATATATATTTAAACAAAAATAAATCAGTTTAGCACAGTAGTATAAACTAAAAACGGGATCGAGACCGACTTTCGGATATATCTAATACCACTTCATTATTAAAATGTTATTAAAAAGTATAAATACAAATATTTTTTAAAATTTATATAGGCCCTTGGAAAAGTTAAATTTTAAAACTGTTATTAGAGCAAAAGCTATTGTAAAAGAAATACCTGGCTATATCGACCATTTTAATATTTCTGAAAAGAATATATACAGGCGAACATCCATGAACATGAACTTCGAAAGCTCGGTGATTTTGATACCAAAGATTATAAATAGCATATCAGTGCCGTATTTAAACTCCGTCTTTATTGAAAAAGCGTAACCAAATATCGAAAAACGTATTTAAAACTATAAACACATTTACCAAGGCAAACGCACACATTTTTTCTATCGCAAGACTCTGCAGAGAGAGAATTCTTTTAAAAATATAACAATATTTTTAATGTTGAAAATTTTTTCAATGTGCTTAAATGAAGTTGAACTGGCAGTATATACATTGTTTACCTTAACAACGAAACTATGCTTATAAAAAGTTGTTAAATAAACTCAACTTAACTTTGCAACATACTTTTAAATAAAATGATAATAATGATAATAATAAAATGACATATTTTATTTATGGACAGTTAATAACTAAAAAATAACATTTTAACGCCTCACAGCTGAGAAACGCACTGTATTATCTATGGAAAATATACTCGAACTGTGCATACATGCATTAGGCGAATCAACCGATTGCCAGCCATTCAGGGCTTATCTTCCAGTGGACTGAAGAGGGGCAGTGTTAAAAATAAATAAATAAACATAATTTGTGCTGTTGCCGTTTATTGGGTGGTAGCAGGACGCCTAATATTATGCCATGTTTATGCACTGTCCAAGTTGTTGTTGGCTATTTGTTTAGCATTTTGCCCAGACAGTTTTATGTACCGATAGATACGGAGGCAGTGGCCAACGCGTCGTATGCGCAATGCACAGTTCGATGGAACGTTAGATGGGCTATAATTTATTTGTCTGTTTCGTTGGTTGTTTAACAAGCAATAACGAAATAAAACTTTTGATAGCCGAAATGTGATAAGCTAAAAGGGGCGATGAGTGATCGATAGAGAGAGATAAGGGGATTTGGGAAATTAATTAGTTTATGATTCGGTTAGTCTGCAGCTAATCCTTTGATAAATAGTCCTTTGAAAAGCATTGGAATATTTAATTTAAACAATTTTAAAGTCTCAAGTAAAACAGTTAGAATGCGATTTTAAACCTTGACCGCAGTTATAGACAGAAAGATTTAAAATGCAAATCAAAGTTTTTGAAAAAAGAGCAGGTAAAGGAAAAAGGCTTTAAAATGTATTTATAAATTGTTGATACCAAAGCTTTGTTTTTTTTCGCTTATGAGTCTATAATATATCCTTATAATATCCTTAGATTCATATTTTGAAATCCAAGCTGCGGTTACATTATCCTTGTTTCTCTATGTTAGCATAAAAATCTATGTAAAATTAAATTACCATTGCACCAAAAAGAGATGGAACATAAAAGGGAAAACAAATTATGCGATTGTTACGCAATGATTTTAAATATTTTAACAAAAATATATGAAGCTGACTTAAATAAATGTTCTATGCAATTTTTAAGGTTGAATCGTAGAGTAAAGGTTGTTTCTCGTGTGCCCACTCATTCATATTCACCACACACGGTCTATTATTCATTGGCAATTTTTTGCAGCTGCGATTGCAATTTGCAAATGAACCGGATTCGGGCCGCTGTCGATTCGCTGTGTATTTATTGTGAGTATTTTGAGGGACAAAAACAACTGGGCAAGAACGAGCCAAGGAAGCCGCAAAAACCGCAACGAATTTAGCACGATGCTTGACCAGAAAAAGCTGGTGATTCTGTGGGGGGGGTCTGAAGATCGACTGCATTTGAATTCAACGCCGGACGGCCAAGTGAAGCGTGACAGGTCGGGGGTCGCGAGAGAAATCGGGCAGAGTGGCCAAGGAGTGCGCTTAAAGCGAAGGCGCATTCAAATATCAAGTATACGCAGCGAGGCACATGACATTTCTTCGGTTATTTATACTGTGTGGCATCGAATCGAAATGCAAATGAAATCCACCGCAGAGCAGGACCTGCCGTTAATTGGCAATTTATAGCAGATACCCAACCGCTGCCACGCCCCCACCTCCGCCCCTGTTTTCACGTGCTCGCTCAAGTGAAAATTATCATTTCCAGCGAAACTAAACCGCCACCGCCCGCCAAAGGAAACAAAGCAAAAGGCAATGCTACAAAAATGTACAGACACCCACAAAAAAATGGCAAAAGGAACGGAAGCGAAGTGAAGAACTGAGGGAATGGAAAGCCGCACAAAAGTCGACAAAAGTTTAGACGGGGACAAACCGTCCGAGCCGACCGCAAAAGGCAACAGCCATCCCAACCCTACCCCTTTAATCGAGCAATGCGATATCCAAGGAATATATAGGCGGAACGCGGGCTAATTTAGAAGACAGAAGCAACAATGCCCTAACGGTCCTAATATGTGTCCTAAAATTTAATCGTGTTGCATTGACTTTTGCAGTTTATTATTTTAGTATATTTATAAATATCTATATATACTTCAAACACAAATATTATATTTTTTTCAGCATATATTTATATATGTGAATATTGTTCACTGTACTATTATATCATCAGTGATCAGTGTCCCATAGTTTATATTTATTTACGTTCCATCAATTATGCTTTTCTTCGCACATCCAGTCAGATAATAGACCTATAAAATTGCAAAATTTTAGAAAATTTATAAAAATTAATTTTTTAAAACCACAAGCTGAATAAAACTGAAATATGACATTGAGTTATACTTTGCTTTTCAAGTGGTGGTAGGGTTGCAAAGGCCAAAGAACATTCCTACTTTCGCAATTTTTTTTCGAAAAAGTATTTTGTGTTTTCGGCGCATCCTCGAAAATAAATTTGATTTTCACATCCTAGAACGTCTTAGCGCATCAGAGGGTTAACTGAATAACGCAACCGGTACTGGTTTAGAAGGAAATGGAATTTCGCTGGTATCGTCGAATCCATTTTTTTTAATTTTTAATTTTGTTGTGTTTTTGCAACAACTTTAAATAAAAAAAGAAAATATGAAATTTTTTTTTTTTCTTAACAACTATAAAATAGTCAATAATAAGTTAATATTTATTTGATCTAATAATATTTTCAGCAAAACAGCGCCCTAACCTGCAATCTTCTAGTTGATTGAGAATTTTTAAATACAGTACTAGCTTCTACAAATTCTTAAAATCTAGAACTTGGACAGAAATTTTCTAAATAAGAAGGTGAGTATAATTTCGAAGTGAAAGGTTTTTCATTTGTGATGAAAATATTTCGCCATCATGATGTTTAGTACAATCCAAGGACTCTTTTCAAAAGGGTACAAACATGAACCCAACCAGCGATTTATCGCATTTTGCTGTGGTCGGCATTAGTTACGCTGAATTTTATCACAATTGCAATTCTTTCTAGTCGAGGACACCCCCGAAACAGCAGCCGCCAAAAAGGATTTCATTTTCATTTATTTTTTGCGTCCTTTCGCCGCTGGGCTGCAGCCAAACCAGGCCGATGGGATTGCGGATGGAGGACCGGACCGAAGACCGAACCCACCGCTGCCTTGGCAACTGTCCGAATCTCAAAATGCCCAACGCTAATTTCCACGCTATGCCTTTAAATAATCATAATTTGGGCTTTTGTAGCTGGTGTTGCGGCAACTGATGCTGTAAATGATTAACGCTGCTGCCGGGCTTTCGAGGGTTAATGGCTGGGGGAGACTCTTTAAAGTGCCCTCGGTCGACTTGCATATTTTCAAGCCTGATTGCTCATTAGCAAATTCATTTGGCTGCACTCCAACCCGAGGGGAAGTCCCAGAGTTATCAGTTAGAAGGCGTTAGGCGGAGAGGGCAAATGTTTAACGCTCAAAGAAAAGTCGAACGCGTTAATTCTCTTTTTGATGGCTAAGAGTCACTTATTTTTAGGTGTTATATGGTATAAAAACTTAGATGTAAGTTCCTCATGGGTGTTTATTGGAATTTGAGATTTTACAAACAACTCAAATGTTTGAAAGCAATATATAGTTTGCAACCAAAGAAAACTTATGGAGCTCAAGTACAAGTATTGTTAAGCACAAATTAAAACAAATTTTAATCTTTAAAAATGTGAGCGTCGCAGTTTTGGACGGTTTGTGGACGTTAGAGTGAGCTTGGCACCTTGCTAAAATACACTTGTGATGCGCAAAAATCTCTAGAATCTACATGCCAAATCTTAACTATCTATCATTTATAGTTTTCGAGATAACCGTGTTTATACGGATGTTTTTTGAAGCTTGTGGGCGGTTTCTGGGCGTTAGAGTGGGCGTGGCACTGTGCTGGAACAAACTTTCACTGCTCAAGAATCTCTAGAATTTGCATGCTTAATCCCAACTTTATAGCTTTTATAGTTTCATACTGACAGATACATCAGGAATGTATATACTTTATGGGTTCGGAAACGCTTCCTTCTAATTGATACATTTTTTCAGACTAGAGTATATCCTTTAACTCTACGAGTAACTGGAATAAATATGGCGGGAAAGCATCATTTGTGAGCTGCAAGCAAATACATCCAACCCTTCGTAGTGTATTTCCAAAATTGGAAAATGCAAAAATGCTTCAAAAATTATCATTTAGCAGGGCCTAATGACTTGTGCAAAATGTCGCCGTGTTAAGATACTCGCACTCTCTGGCCTTTTAGCTGGCGAGGGTCCTTTAAGAAGCATCCTCTCTTATCTCCTCCCCTCCGAAATGGGGTGGATTGAAGATGGGACCGAAATGTTGGCTTAATTGTCAAAAATTCGAGCCGGAGAACTATGCAAAGGCCCCAATGAATGGGGGAGTGAGCCGGATAGTTGATGAGCTGAGGGATGAGCATTAACCCAGTTAACCCATTAAAGCCGTGTCATAAATTCAAAGCCACCGCAGGACAGCAGCAACAACAGAGGCGGCTTTTGCTTTGTGCCCTTTTGTGGGCCAAGCTTGGCACCGTTTTTCGACTCATTAAAGCCAACTTCACGCAATTAGGCTAATAAGCCGTCCTCGTAACTGTGTTGCAACAACAAGAGAAGGCCAAAAGCAAGATTGGAAAGGGAGTGAGGGGTAAAACCAGGAATTGCGGGGGCAGTCAAGTTTAAATAAAACACTTTCACTGCTCCCATTTCGCAATCTCGCTCAATTAACTGAAGTAAGTGACATTTGATGTGTGAGGGGTCAGATGTAAACATATTTTAAAAGGCCTGAAAATAAATCACTTTGAAAACAAGGCAGAGACGCAATAGATTTTTTAATTACACAATCCCCTACATCAGTAAGAAAATGCCAGAATTTCCTGTGCATTTAAAAATTATTTCAAGCTAACTTAAGATTAAAACCCCAGGTCAAACCAGGACCAGCAGCTTTAATCCTCAGCACGTGTACATTATATCGAGATAAAAGTATAGTGTATATAGTGTGTTTACCTTCATTTCTATTTTTGGGTTTTTTTGTAGGAACTTTAATATTTCTCATTTATTTTTTTGTGGGGCGAAGGGAATATACATTACAAAGGAAACACCAAGTGGAAAATAATAAAGGATTTCTCTAAGTTCTTTACCGATCTTTATGTCAAATATATCCAATCGGAACTCCCTCAGTTGATAAAAAATTCGTCGAATTTAGGACGATCCAAAACTGCTAAACCCATAAGATACAAAACGATTTGCATTTGTAAACAATTTAATTCTGTGCAGCTGGGAGGCGCTCCACAGTGGCCAGTCAACGTCAGTAAAATCTTGGTAGGTTCGTCGTTCGTAAAACCCCCAGCTGCACACGCAACACTAAACAATAAATTTGGACAAGCCATGGACAGGAGACAGAAAACAACGAAACCAAAACGGGCACAAAACAGAAGGGAAATGAAACGAGAAACGCGGAACGATCCAGACCCGGAGATCCCAGCCGTGGGATCACTTGCTGTCGGGACAGGCCATCTGATACAGGAACTGCACGATGGTGCGGGTGGGTCTGCCGGTCATCCGATCCTTGAGCAGGTATGGAAGCGGATTGTGGCGCGTCAGCATGCCCACGTTCCGGATGTCTATATGGGCCCAGTCCGCGCAGGGCACCAGTTCGTGGAGCACGGCCGCGGCAATGCAGCTGGAGGCGGGTCCAATCCCCCTGTTGCTGATGTCGAAGGTGAGGTTCGGGGTCACCAGCTGCTTGAAGTAGCGCCACAGGGGCAGACGCCACAGCCGATCTCCAGTGAGGCCTCCTGCCTTCTCGAACTGCTTGGCTATGAAGTTGGAGTTGGTGAACATTCCGGCGGCGGATTCCCCAAGACCAGCACAGACGCCGTATCCCACGGTGGCCAGGTCAACCACCAGACGCGGCTTATAGGTGGTCTGGGCAAAGAGCAAGGGATCTGCCATCACAACTGTTCCCGCCTTGCTCACATCCACGATTCCCAGGGTCTTGCCGTTTAGCAGGGTGACCACATCGCCCGGTTTCACGGCCATTCCGGAGGGCATGTTCTCGCAGAGCGGCAGGACGGCCGAGATGTTCACGGGCAGGGACAGAGCCGCTGCAGCGCGAACGGCGGCCACACAAACCGCTGCTCCGGCCATGCAACCCCGGTACATGTGCAGGCAATCCTTGGGTCGCAGGCACAGTCCCCCACTGTTGTACGTCAAGCCTTTGCCCAAAAGCAGGATGGGTCTGTCCTCGGGCGCAGTGCCGCAGTAGCTGACCTCCAGAACCACCGGGGGCTCGCAGCTTCCCTTGGCCACCATCAAGAACGAGTTGAGGTTATTCGATTCTATCCAATCCATAGAGCGCACCTCCACGGACACACCGCAGGGACAAAGCGCATCCACCGCGGACTGCGCGAATATGGTGGGAGTCATCTGATTCGCGGGGGCATCGCTCAATCTCCTGGCCAAGTTCTGCGATTCAGCCTTGAACAGACCCCTCGTCCAGGCATCCACATCCGGTGAGTCGTAGAGATCCAGCTTGGGCACTTGAGTGCGGTCCTGCTTGCGCTTGTTGCTGTTGTACCGCCAGATGGCCAAAGCACTGCCCTCTGCCGCCTGTTCCGGATACTCCATGGAGTCCACAAACACCTCCGTACATCCCTGGAGCTGCAGGGCCCGAGCTCCCACGCCAGCGGCAACGCGGGCGTTCTCCATGCCCTCGTCGATATTCTCCAGGTCATTGAAGCCGGCGCCCTCCTGGCCCAAGCCCACCACGGCCACTGCCCGGAACTCGGCATCCACGTTCATAAACACCTTACCCTTGCCCAAGTCCCCCTTGATGCCGGTTTCGCGCAGCAACTCCGAGATTTTGCCCTGCGTCCGATCGTCGAACTTCTCGCCGCTGGACGTCATCTTGACCTCCTTGCCGTCGCCCTCCTTGGAGTACACGCCCACCACCACGCCCTTGATCACAGTCTTGCTGTCGCACTTGTCCGTTATTCCTGCCAATCCCCTCAGGGCTTGGAAATTATGCGACTGAAGTCTGTAGTTTAGAAGCGGTCCCCCGAGCACATCACACGTTTTCCAGGTGCCCTGGACCCTTCTGTATAGGCTGCGATTGCGGGTAAAAGCGTTCATCATGCGTGTGGATGCCATCTTTGGGTTACACGGCCTCTGGTTTTCGGATTAGTCCGCCCTTTCTCGTCTGGTCAGCTTTTTAGTGGAGGAGAAGGAAAATAGGCAAAATTTTTGATCAAGTTCCTAATAATTGTGGAAAGACAGTAGAAAGTGTGTTCCTCCGTTAAGCTAAAGGGTAGACTAAGTCCAAAAAGGAGACAATATATGGGACGCCCACTCCGTTCGAGTTTTTAATACGCTCGCATCCCAAGTGCATATCTGATTTTTAAAGATCAGAAAAAAACAATGTTTTTACAAATATATATCGTAACAGTTGTAAAACTTTCGACACGCATGTTTTTACTCAAAAATTAAGTCCTATAAACATTTATTCCTCATCGGAGTCGGCTTGATTGGAGGGCTTTAGGCTGCCGAAGACCTTGGCCGGGATGGCCTTTTGTTCGAAGCGCAATTTCTTCATTACAAGGCCTTCCTCGTCGGTTTTTGTGGCGGCCTCGGTAGCTCCGTTTTCATTTGCAGGCTCGTTTTCCTCCTCGTCGTCCTCGTCTTCATCGCTGTCTCCAATGTCAATCTCATCGGGATTAACAACAGTATCCTTCTTGTCCTTGGCACCTCCCTGAGTTTCGCCGCGCACAAACATAATATTGGAAGCCGCCTTTTCGGGGGCCTTCTGTTTGGCCTCGGCTGCCGCCTGGCGGGCTTTCTCCTCCAGCACACGCATTGCATCCGGCCCAGCTCCTGCTCCGGCATCCGCAGCCGCTCCATTGTTTGTATTCAGGAACTGGGCGGCCATCATGTTCACCTGCGTATTGTAAGTGGCCTGCACAGAGCGCTTGATGCGCAGCATTTCGCGCATTGTGTCCTCATTGCCGTGACGCACTTCGAACTCCTTCCAAGTTTGCCAAAAATCAGCGGTAATGCGAGGATCACAAACCTAAAGGACACAAAGCATACTCATTAAATGTTACCTTTATAATATTTCATAACATACCTGTGAACAATGAGCGTAGATGGCCCTGGCTCGATCCACTTCGCCCAATTTCGTTTCCAGTTCGGCGAACTTGACGCACATGTGTCGCATATTCTGCTCGGGCAGCGATTCGATAGCCTTCTCATAAATTTCCCGGGTACGTGGTAAGCCATAGATCTCGGCCGCCTTCTTCACAAATATGTTGTACATGTCGAACATCTCCTCTTCCTTCACTGCAGAAGTGGCGCGATCATAAACCGACATGGCATGCCGGGCGAGACCGTGCTCCTCTTCCAACTTAGCATACAGTAAATAAAAGTACTTGGCGTGCTCGGGAGGACATTGATCCAGACACTGTTCGAAGAGATCCCGTGCCCGCTCCAATTTTGTACCGCCATAACGCTCCAAAAACTTGCTCAAGTAGGAATTCCATATGTCGTACACATTAGGCCATTTGAACAGAGATATGCCCTTCTCATATGCTCGATAGGCCTCCTCGAAGTAGTTGTGCTCTTCCAGGAACATCCCGTAGTTAATGATGATCTGCGGCGTGCATATTTTCAGGTCGATAATTCGCTCGTAGACGGCTTTGCAGGTCTTAAAGGTTCCGAATGACTCCTCCAGATCAGCATACATGGACCATACTTTCAAAGAGCGATGAAGGCGCGCCTGAACTGTTTCTGTATCATCGTGATAAGCTATCTTTCGCTTCGGCATGGCCGTGGCCCTTTGCATAAGCTTGAGAGCCCCCTCGAACTGCTGCTGACGAAGCTCCATCTCCGCCCATTCGCACCACACCGCCGCCAGATCCTCTACCTTGACGTACTCAACCTCAGTGCCGCGTTCGAAGACTACACGGGCATCCTCAACCTGCCCGTTCGCCTCGTAGAATTTCGCGAATTCCACCCATAGGGTGTGCAGCTTTCCAACCGCCTGCTTCGGCTGCACTGTTTGCACGGCCTCCGTGTAAGTACTTATTATCTCGGCGGGTTTGTCCTCGTACAGGGTCACCCGCTTGTGCCACTCGTGCACATTGTGCGGATTTTGACGCAGAAGCACGCTGTTCAGCAGCAGCAGCCGGCGCTCCATGAGGTATTCGAAGCGCGAGAGGCGTAGTTCTACGTCAATGTCGTCCTCCTCGGTAGCCGCATCGTTACTAGCCACCTGCTCCATACGCTTGTTCAGAGAGAGTTCCTCAAACTGGGCATATTCGTCGAAGACTTGGGTAAAGTCCCTCACGGTGGTCACCGTTTGAATAGCCTCCTCGTATATGTCCCTTGCCCGATCAAATAAACCGGAGCGCACGTAGTAATCCGCCAGGGAGTTCCACAGGTGGCCCAGCTGATCGGTATAGCGGCGCAGTCCACCCCGAATAATGGCGTCCACATTCAGGGAGTGCACCTTGTGCGGGTTCTTCGAGATGAGGTCACACAGCTCGTTCCACAGCTGATGATTGGACTTGCCGTGCTTGGAAACAAAGTGCTCGTTGTCCACGATGTGCGCCAGCTGCTGGGCAGCTTCGTCCAGTCGCTCTGCCTCCTGCAGATAGTCAACATACTCCTCGGTGTCCTCGGGAAAGAGTTTCAGGTATCGGCGGTAGACCCGTAAAGCAGTTTCTGGCATCTCAAAGCGTCGTACGAACTGCAGATACAGGGGCCAAATCCGGCCGTGCTGAGTGATGGGTAGAGCCCTCAATGCCCGGTCGAAAACGTGGCGGGTGCGGGTGATCTTGCATTGCGCGGTCATGAAGGCACCATAATCCATCCAGATTCGGGGCATTTTGTGCATAAAAACGAGGGCTCGTTCGAATGCGCTATTGACCTCCTCGTACATGGGATCCGTGGGTATCTTTCCGCGCACCTGCTTCCTGCGGGTCCGCAGATAATTGTGCCAGATCTTGTAGCTACCGGGGAGCTCCTTCAGGGCTCGCTCATAGACCAAATTAACACCATTATCCGGGGCCTTGGCCTTGTGGTCTATGTAGCGCAGCCAATGTTTCACGGAGTAGGCGTTCCGCAGGATTTCCTCCTCATACGGTACATCCTCCTCTTCCTGTGGGTGTGAGTAAGCTGAGTTAGCCCTATGTTCATGTTTAGTTAATGGTACTTACGAAATTGATTTCTATATTCAGCGATTGTACTGTTTTTGTCGCCATTTTCCGTGATTTTCACAACACGAAAAGCCGCAAACAATTTTTCTCTTTTCATGCGCGTCCCACAAAACAGCTGATGTAAACGGAGTTGCCACAGAGTTGCAAAAGTAGTGTTATTAAAAAAATACCAGAAAATAATTTAATAAAAATAATAAAATAATAATAAAATAAGCTAGCTAGATATTAAATAACTTATGTATACATAAAAAGTAAAATACAATAGGCGTATAAATATTAGTTCATTATATTAAGGGACGTTAAAGTAATAAAGAATTAATCTAATTTATGGATGGTCGGAAAAAGAATAATAAAATCAATTCAAAGAAACTCTAGACTCGGTTTTAAATTATTATTTATTAAAGAACCAGTTACTTTTACCGATTTTAATTATTTACTTTTATTTTATAACTGCATTTAATTTTGTTTGTTGAATATCTTGTCAAATGTGAACTTTCTAGAATACCTGAGTGGTATTTTTTGACCCGCGTTGAATAAGTATTTTGCCCGTCGCGCGCTGCCCAACACTGGCCTCAGTTCGTGAATTTTGTGGAAGCCCGTCTGCTGATGTTTTCGTCGCTGCGGCCGATAATTTGATTTTCATACCGTTTGCGTATTCCGCACAGTCCGCTTTACGCGCTCGTAAAATCGCAAAAAACACAAGTAACCGGATCGCTTGAGAAGTTTTCGTAAACACCTTCAGTTGGCCTGCATTTTGCATAATTTACGCAACGAAGGCAACTGCGTGAGTGCACCAACACACACCAACACGTCGGCGCGAAAGAGAGCGCAGAGAGTGAGGAGCGCAGGCGAGTTGGCAGCCAAAGGCGAAAAATCAAAGTCTGTCGAAAATCCACTATATAAATAGCCCAAAATGACGCGCTTGAAACATTTCTCAGCATAGAACGACTATCAACCGACTAAAAATTAAAATAACACCCAACGACCGGGCCAAAGGAGCCAAAGTGGTAAGTAAAATCGCAGGGAAACAAGAAAAAACACGTCACACGCACTTGGCAGTGGTGTGCGTACGTTTGTGAGTGAGTGGGTGGGTGTCATAAATATTTTCGCACACACTTGTTCCTGCATTGATTTTTTTCGGACAGGTTCAAACTTGTGTGTGCCGCCTTCCAATTGGTCCAGCTAAATCCAATTAGACCGGGTCCCAAGTAAAAACCACCCCCGGAAAATCCATTTCCCTGCTTCGAAACAGCTGTTTCGTACGGGTTTTCAAAATTTTCCACTCACTGATGTTGTGTGAGGGAAATTTTTCGGCATTTTAGGGCCTCCCGATGGAATGTAAACAGAAGAAGCGGAAGTGCGGAAAAGCGCTTAGATTTCTTGCCGGTCTTGGCCCACTCTCGCTCGCTCTTTCGGCTGTTGCCACCCACCGAACTGACACACTGAGCCACCCACAGCAACAACAACTCTCTGCAGCTTTGAGCCGCATGCAGCTTTTTTTACGGCCAGCGAGAAAGCTTTCTTTGTCTTTGGCATCAAAGTTCACCGACTACTGCATCCAGTTTGCTAAAATCACAGTAAAAGTACAGGATATCTTTAAATCAAATCCTATAAAATAAGGCACAATCGGTGTTCTCAGAGGTATTCCTTTAAAACTCGCAAATGGAAAACCCATTTTCACTAATATAGAAAGATCTAGTTCACACTACCGTTTTCAAAAATCCACGAATCAGAATTATAAAACTAAAATGTATTTAAAAGGTATAATATCTTTTCATTTTTCCATAACAATTTAATTCCACTCAAATTTAAGCCTACGAAAAAATTTTTTTTATTGTTACTTCGAACGTAAAGTTAAAAATGAAATATGATATTCCATTAAACTTATATATAAAGGACTTGTTATACATTCCTGTTTTGGAACTAAAAATGTTTATAAAAATAGTTAAGATTGGAATGTTTAAAATTACTTTTAACATCAATATAAACCTAGATATATCTTAAAGACAAGCAAGACCACCATAATAGCCCCTTAGCAACCCATCGCAGCTTAACAAACATACTTACTTATACTCCATAAATACCCTGCCAAAGCTTCTCT